GTAATTAGCAAATAGTTGTATTTTTTTCATATATTTATATCAGTTTAAAAGAACTGTAATTAAATGATTTATCCCACCATTTCTTTTTTTAAAGAATCTATTTTGTTTTGTAAAGTATTCATTTTTTTTGCCATTGTCCCTATAATTGACTATTTAAACTGTTCCAGACCCGACTCCAAATAAACAAAGATATCATAAAAAATCATTTGTGACAAAGAAAAAATAAGAAATTTAATATTATAATAACAAATACAAAGCAATATGAAAAAAAACGCAAAGTTAATATACTTTTTCAAAAAATAAAATTAGAGTTTACATTGAAATAACAGTTAAAAATAGTTTTATATACCACATCATGTGCATATGAATGTACTTTGATATAAATCTCCTTTAGTTTTAATGTCATTACTTTATTACAGAGTTTTTGCAATGCCTTCGACTCGTTTTATGTTTAAGAGTTTAAATAACAATATCAATTTATCAGAAACTAATTTTAACTTTACATATCTAGTTTAGAATTAGAAAACAACTTCAACAAAAGAACTTTAATTTGGAATCTCTGTCAAAATCGTTTCATTTTAAAGTTAATTAAACATAAATTTTAAATAAACAAATGTCTTTTACCACTTCCTTTGCTAGACAACTGATTTTGTCCAGTGCATTTAATTTTGTAGACATTTCCTCATTGCTCAACTTTCTGTACTCATCTTGATCTTGACCCTGCGTAAAAAATAAAAACAAAGAAGTCGGATTTTGAAAAAAGATAATAAAATTGTTATTGTTTTATTTGTTATAATAAAAAAAAAAAAAAAATTAGAACAACAAGAATTCATTTTAAACGTTTAAATATTGTGTTACTGGAATTAGTTTCTACTTATTTCTAACAAAAAAAAACACAAATAATACATCTTGATACATCATTTTTAAACGAATCTAATTTGATTTCAAATTTTTTTAATTTTTGTAGTTATTTCATCATTGTGTATTGTTTTGTATTGGTCATGACATATTTCCTGCAAAACAACAACAAAAAAATAAAAATTAATAAATTATGCAGAAGCTCTATCAAAAAATTGCAGCGATGTTTTATCATTTATATCATCTTTAAGCTGAATCATTCAAAAACAATTGAACATTTATGAAAAAAATAATTAAATTTTCAACAGTTTTATAAAATGTTGCATAAAAAAGACCTTGGTTACAAAAACAATATATTTAAAAAAGTTACTTTCTTAAGTGAAACATTGTCCAATTATTAAACGCTTTAATAATTTGAAAAAAACCAAATTCATCGAAACATTTAGTAATGCTAACACTTTCCAGTTTTTGCAATTCAATCAAATATAAGAAAAAAATAAAATTTAGTAAATGATTTTGTTAAAGTTTTACATATCAAAATTTCTTGGATTTACTACTGATTTTTATAAACAAAGGCTTTTTGCCTACTTTAAATTAAAAAAAAATCAAATAGCCAAAATATTGTAAAAACAATTAAGGAAAAAGAACCTATAAACTTTAATTCTCACAGTTTAAATTAAAGAATACGATGATTTGCATTTACTAAAAACAAAAATTAAAGCTAAAACAATTAGTATAATTTTTGTAAAAAAGTATAATAAATTTAATGAATATGTTAATATATATATATATATATATATATATATATATATATATATATATATATATATATATATATATATATATATATATATATATATATATATATACATATATATATATATATATATATATATATATATATATATATATATATATATATATATACATATATATATATATATATATATATATATATATATATATATATATATATATATATATATATATATATATATATAACTATAATAAAAGTATATGTAAATTTATTTTTCTATTTTATAAAATACCAAAAACAAAAAATAATGTTTAATTCTTTTCATAACAAATTAGCTAACTAGAAAAAAGTCATTAAAAGTTGCTTTATATATTTTTTTATTATTTTACCTTTTTTAATTTTTAAATTCAGTTTTTTTAATACTTTATTGCTTATCAGCTTATATTTAGCTACTGACAAAATGAAATTAATTTGAGTAGCTTATAGCAAATATTTGTTTTATTTGTTTAATGTTTATATCAGTTTAAAAGAACATTAATTAAATGATTTATCTGATATTTTTTTTTTAGAGAATCAATTTTGTTTTCAAGAGAGTTTTTTTCAAATTGAACATAGATATCATGAGAAATCATTTGTGACTAAGAAAAAATAAAAAAATTAATATTATACCCTGAGCTTTAATATTATACCCTGAAAATAATATTATAACCCTGAGCTTTATAAAAAAAAAATGCAGCGATGTTTTATCATTTTTATCATCTTACAGCTGAATCCTTGAAAAACAAATGAAAATTTATGAAAGAAATTATTAAAATTTAACTAGTTCTATAAAATGTTGCAAAAAAGACCTTGCTTACACAAATAATAAAATTATAAAAGTTAATTTCTTAAGTTTAACATTGTTCAATTTTTAAACGCTTTATTAATTAGAATAACATAACTCATGATAACATTTAGTAATGCCAACACTTTCCAGTTTTTGTAATTCAATCTTATATAAAAAAAAAAAAAAAAATAATTTTGTAAAATATTCTAATAAAATTTAACATATCAAAATTTCTTGGATTTAATAATGTTACATATAAATAAATGCTATAAGCCTTCTTTAAAACAAAATAATAAAAAAGACTAAAATATTGTAAAAACAATTAAGGAAAAAGAACCTAAAAATTTAAACTAAAGAATACGATGATTTTTATTTAATAACAACAGAAATTATAGCTAAAACAATTAGTATAGTTTTTATAAAAAAGAATAATAAATTAAATGAATCTGTGAAAATATAAAGATAAAAATATATATATATATATATATATATATATATATATATATATATATAATAAATATATATATAATAAATATATATATATAAATATTATATATAAATATATATATATATATATATATATATATATATACATATATATATATATATATATATATATATATATATATATATATATATATATATATATATATATATATATATATAATAAATATATATATAAATATTATATATAAATATATATATATATATATATATATATATATATATATATATATATATATATATATATATATATATATATATATCTATATATATATATATATATATATATATATATATATATATATATATATATATATATATATATATATATTATAAGGTTATAAGCTTTGTACAGAATGTCGTAAAATATTGCACTTAAGAAAACAAGAACATGAAAGCAATTCATGTAAAAATGAAGATAACGATTTTAACGGGATTTATATTTCAAAAGAAAACTTTAATTTAAGCATTAACACCTTTGGTTGTTCACCTCTAAAATTAGTAGCTTATAAAGACAGAGTCAGCTATGCAAAAAGAAAGATTAACAAGATCCATACTGCAACCAAAAAAAAAATATCAAGTGTTTTAGATGTTTCTCTGGATTTAATAAATGATGAACCAAAAACAAAAGAACTTTGTTGCAAAAGTAAACAAGATTTGGACGCACTAATGGAATTAATTAAAGCAAAGTTTAATATTTCTTCAAAACCAGAAAAACTTAAATTGCTAACTTTGGTTCCTGAGAGTTGGAACATTAAATATACAGAAAACTATTTTTCTGGATCCCAAAGAATGATAAAAACTGCAAGACATTTGAAACAAATGTATGGCATAATGGCGGAGCCGTCTAAAAAAGAAGGAAGATCTATTAGTGAGAAAGTAAAAAATGTAGTCCATGAATTTTACCAATCAGATGAATACTCTAGAATGTGTCCAGGAAAAAAACAGTATGTCTCAACCCAAGTTGATGGTAAAAGACAACATTTTCAAAAAAGACTGCTATTACTTAATATAAGAGAACTTTATTTAGAGTTTGGTAAAATTTCCTTAGATGTCAAGATTGGATTTTCTAAGTTTTGCGAACTTAGACCAAAGTGGTGTATTCCTGTTGGAGGTGCTTCAGGTCTCCACTCAGTATGCGTTTGTGAGTACCACCAGAATGCCAAACTTTTAGCATTAAAAATACCAGATATTTCAGACTATAAAAATCTCTTGACATTAGTTGTATGTGACTTAACAAATCGAGACTGCATGCTGCATTGTTGTGATACCTGCCCAGATAATGACACACTTAAAGAGTATCTTACTACTTTGTTTGATAAACATAGCATTGAAGAAATCAACTTTAATCAGTGGCAAAAAGCTAACAAAAAACATGATATAGTTCCCGTAACTCTTCCAGTGGACGATTTTATTGAAAAAGCTTGTCAACAAATAGACCAATTAAGAGACCATCACTATATAGCCAAAAATCAAGCAGCATATTTGCAGCATCTAAAAATCACATTAGCAAGTAATCATATTTTAATATTATTAGACTTTGCTGAGAACTACAGTTTTTTAATTCAAGATGCAGTACAAGGTTTCCATTGGAACAATAGCCAAGCAACATTGCATCCCTTTGTTATTTACTTTATGGAAGAAAACAAGATAAAATGTAAAAGTATTTGCATTATCTCAGATAATTTGCAACACAATACAAACTCAGTACATTGTTTCATTCATGAAGTATTAAAACATTTAAAAAACTTGATATCCTACTTTAACCACTGCATTTATTTCAGTGATGGTGCAAGTTCACAATACAAAAATTATAAAAACCTATCTAACTTATGCCACCATAAACAAGATCATGACGTATCTGCAGAATGGCATTTTTTTGCTACATCACATGGAAAGAGTGCGTGTGATGGTGTTGGGGAAACTGTCAAAAGACTTGTAGCAAGGGCAAGTTTACAATCACTAGTTGATCCTATCAATTTATCAAAAAAATGTATGATTGGTGTAGACAAAATATTGATGGAATACATTTTCAACACATTTCAAATGATGCAGTTACATTACATTGCATGAAATTTAAATTAGAAGAACGTTATACTACTTGTTCAACAATTCCAGGAACAAGAAACCACCATTGTTTTATACCACAATCATTAACTACTTTACAAATGAGACGGGTTTCATTCGACAATGTGTTTACTAATGTAAATATTTCAACAATGAAACAGAACTATACAATTCCACTTGCATCTCTATCACCAGGAATTTATATAGCATGTGTTTATGATGGAAAATGATTTTTAGGTAATATTGTGGAAATATCTGAAGAAAATCAAGATATCCTTATAAAGTTCATGAAGCAGTCTATTTCCTCTAACACTTTTACTTGGCCACATAGAGAAGATATTTGCTGGGTTCCAATAATGCACGTTCTATGCAAAATTTCATCTTTAAAAGTGCAATCAGCAACTGGTAGATGCTATGAACTATCAGCTCAAGAAAAAACTGAAATAATACATTTGTACAATAGAATGTTTAATAACGAAATTATATAATAACAAAGCAAAATTTTTATATGCTTGATCAATCGAAAAAATGTATTAAAGCATACTTGAATGATTCCATCTTTATGTTGATTTTTTATTAAATAATGTTTTTTAATTCATAATACGTAATATATAATTACATAATAAACTTGTGTATTGCAATGACAAATCAAATTACTCTTATCACTTGATATAATCTGTAATCTAAATTTAAGCATGACAATAATAAAATGGGGAAAATGATACTAAATTTAAGTCAGAATATAAAACTGTAAGATAATAACTGATATAGAAACAAAAATGTGTTGTGTCTTATAAGCATTTACAAATAAATAACACAGCTATTATTTGAGTATGTTTAATACTTGGTGCATAAAGATACTTTATGCATCAGATATAATAACAGAAACATTGCATAATCTAAAATGTTTAATAAACAGTAGTTTAAAATGTTATCAAGAAATAAGTTCTTCTTAAGATAAGAATGTTCTGGGCAAAAATACGCATTTATAAAAATAAAGACAGGGTGAAGGGGAGGGGGGGGTAGAGGGCAACTAAGGTTATTTAAAACCTGAGTTTAATTCAGTCCTAATTTGAAGCTAATTTGTAGCAATGATTTTGATATACTTTCAAATATATACATTTTTTTGCATTGCAGTAAATAATGAATACTAAAGTACATCAATATCTCTATTTTTTGCGTTTTTAATGCATTTTGTGCCAACTTCATTGTTCTGACTTTGTAACTTTCCCATGAGTACCCACTATTTTTTTTTCTGAAATCACTTTAATAAAGTCTACTAAATGAGTAGAAAAAAAGTATATCATAAAAATAAGTGTTGATCATAGGTTACCAGTGGATTTAAGGGAAGGCACAATTATGTAAGTTTTAGCCGGAGCCATTTTTAGGGGTCAATAATTTCTTACTGAAATGTATTATATCAGCAAATTTCTGAAAATTAGGAAGCCTACCATATATAGAAACTATAAAGATATGTATTTTTACTTCGTAAATTTCTAGTTTTGTATATAAATCCATAAAAAATCAACTTTCTATATATGCAAACAATTTTTTCGGTTTTTCAGGCAGCCATTATGGATAAAATATGACATTTAAAAATTTAATGTTAAAGTTTTAACAAAGAAAGCCTAGCATTGTATATGATAAAAAAAACTAGAAGGTTTTCTGAAATTTAGTTTTTAAAATACAGAGCTTCAAAGTATGAACAAAACATGTTTTTGCTACTAAAGTTTTTATTTTTGGGAAAATCAGAAATTTCAAATGGCCATATCTCATGAACCATATAAGATTTGAAGCTGAAATTTTTAGGAATTGCTTTTCTCAATGACATAAACCAACCCACTAAGTTTCATAAAAATCTGAGGGGGTCCATGTTTGACCCTGGTTCACTTGGCATGGAATGACCCAGTTTAAAATAAAGAATACAATGATTTTCATTTAATAACAACAGAAATTAAAGCTAAAACACTTAGTATAGTCTTTTTTCAAAAAGAATAATAAATTAAATAAATCTGTTAAAATATATATATATATATATATATATATATATATATATATATATATATATATATATATATATATATATATATATATACATATATATATATATATATATATATATATATATATATATATATATATATATATATATATATATATATATATATATATATATATATATATATATATATATATATATATATATATATATAAAAATAACTTCGACTCATAATTTTTGAAATGCCTTAGACTCGTTTTATGTTTTAGAGTAAAAATATTATTATCAATTTATCAGAAATAAATTCTAACATTACATATCTAGTTTAGATATAGAAAACAAATATAACAAAAGAGTTTTATTTTGGAATCTCTGTCAATATCGTTTTATTTTAAAGTTAACTAAACATAAATTTTCAGTAAAGAAAAGACTTTTACCACTTTCTTTGCTAGACAATTGAATTTGTCTTCCAGTACATTTAGTTTTGTAGACATTTCCTCCTTGCTCAACTTTCTGTACTCATCTTGATCTTGACCCTGCATGAAAATAAAAATAAACAATTTTGATTTTGAAAAAAGATAATAAAAATTATATTGTTTTATTTGTTATTTTAAAAAAAAAGTATATAAAACTAAATAAATATGTTTATATATATATATATATATATATATATATATATATATACATATATATATATATATATATATATATATATATATATATATATATATATATATATATATATATATATATATATACATAACTAAATATTTAAATATATATGTATATATATGTATATATATTTTTTTTTATATATATATATTTATATATATATATATATATATATATATATATATATATATATATATATATATATATATATATATATATATATATATATATGTATATATATATATATATATATATATATATATATATATTTATTCATATATATATATATATATATATATATATATATATATATATATATATATTTATTCATATATATATATATATATATATATATATATATATTTATTCATATATATATATATATATATATATATATATATATATATATAAATATATATATATATATATATATATATATATATATATATATATATATAAATATATATATATATATATATATATATATATATATATATATATATATATATATATATATATGTATATATATATATATATATATATATATATGTATATATATATATATATATATATATATATATATATATATATATATATATATATATATATATATATATATATATATATATATATTATTTATCTTCGCTTTCAACAAGGTTGCAAGCAACCACTAATTAATGTTGAAAGTTGTTCGAAGAGAAAGGATGAATATTGTAGAGCAAGATAACGATTGACAGACGACTTAAAATATTGCAAATTATATGAATCAGGAAAGCAAGATGAAGGAAGCAAATTCCAAAGAACTGATATTTGAGAAAAAAAACTAGACAAAGAAGAGTTTTTGGAGCACTTAGGAACAGTTACAGAAAAAGGATGAGACTTAATTGAATGACGAGTAACACAAGAACGAACTTTAGTAGTTGGCACAAGATATAAATGTATATATATATATATATATATATATATATATATATATATATATATATATATATATATATATATTTATGTATATGTATATATGTTTTATGTAGTATATGTATATATATTTTTCTACTTTATAAAATACCAAAAAAAAAAATTATATTTAATTCTTTATATAACAAATTAGCTAACTAGAAAAAAGACTTAAAAAAATGCAATTTATTTTTTAATTTTCTTTTTTTCAAAATTTTTATTTTAAGTCATTGTCATTGTCTAAATAATTGAATTAACTATGCAAACTCTTTTGTTAATTATTCTTAAAACAAAAATACAAATACTTCTACGCCAAACTTTAATCGTGCAAACTTAAAAAAATACTCAACTGAAATAATTTAAGTATATTTAATAATTTGAATCGTATCTGTTTATAATAAACGTTCGTAAAAATTTGTTTATTAAAAATTAAGTTCCTTAACTTATAAACAAACACAAAAGTATTTTCATTCTACGTATAATTACAAAACTCTTTTTTTTTTTTCGTTTGTAAGCAATTTAACTTAATAAAATAAAAAAAAGAATAAATATGAGGTAATCTTTGTTAAGAATAAATTAAAATATAGTAACATGTGAAAATATTTTAACATGACTTGTATTATTTATAAACCGTTGGGCAGTTGCCCTTACGGCACTATTGTTTTTGGATAATATTATATTTTGATGAAGATCACATAACTTACATTTGATTTTAATAACGTAAGTCTTCTCTTTTTCTGTGATCATCGCATCGGCAAAGCATCGGCAAAGTCCCAAGATTTAAAAGTTTTTAAAGTAAATCTTTTGTCCTTCAAAATACAATCCATATTCGAACTTTAAACAATTTAGAGATAGTAGAAATATACAAGGTTTTTATATACTAGTTTGTTTTGTTTTATAAAGAAAAATACATATTCATTAGTAAAAAATGGAGACTGTCATTAAACTAAAACGTGCCTTAGTATTTATTTAACGGAACCTGTAATGTGCGCGTGCATAATAAAACCTCCGTTATATAAATATATTCAACGTAATATTAGTGTCATCAGCGGATGTTGTAGTCTACTCTTTTTTTACCTTATATTATAACTTGATTTATGAAAAAAAAAAACTTATTGAATCGCACGCAGAAGAATTTTAACAAATTGCCTTCATTCAAATATTGCGAGTAACAGGTAATTTTTTTTTCTGTGCCGACCCCCTCCCCACGCATAACTTAAATTATATACTAATAAACTAATAAGAAAAGCTATATACTATTAAACTATTAAGAAAAGCAAAGGCATTTTTTTTAACATCTCGAAAAAATGTCTTAATATTTTTGTTATCATGATAACAAAAATATTAAGACATTTTTTGAGAT